GCACAAGTGTGAGAGATACCAGTAGCACAAGTGTGAGAGATACCAGTAGCACAGAGTGTGAGAGATACCAGTAGCACAAGTGTGAGAGATACCAGTAGCACAAGTGTGAGAGATACCAGTAGCACAAGTGTGAGAGATACCAGTAGCACAGTGTGAGAGATACCAGTAGCACAAGTGTGAGAGATACCAGTAGCACAAGTGTGAGAGATACCAGTAGCACAAGTGTGAGAGATACCAGTAGCACAAGTGTGAGAGATACCAGTAGCACAAGTGTGAGAGATACCAGTAGCACAAGTGTGAGAGATACCAGTAGCACAAGTGTGAGAGATACCAGTAGCACAAGTGTGAGAGATACCAGTAGCACAAGTGTGAGAGATACCAGTAGCACAAGTGTGAGAGATACCGTAGACAAGTGTGAGAGATACCAGTAGCACAAGTGTGAGAGATACCAGTAGCACAAGTGTGAGAGATACCAGTAGCACAAGTGTGAGAGATACCAGTAGCACAGTGTGAGAGATACCAGTAGCACAAGTGTGAGAGATACCAGTAGCACAAGTGTGAGAGATACCAGTAGCACAAGTGTGAGAGATACCAGTAGCACAAGTGTGAGAGATACCAGTAGCACAAGTGTGAGAGATACCAGTAGCACAAGTGTGAGAGATACCAGTAGCACAAGTGTGAGAGATACCAGTAGCACAAGTGTGAGAGATACCAGTAGCACAAGTGTGAGAGATACAGTAGCACAAGTGTGAGAGATACCTAGCAAGTGTGAGAGATACCAGTAGCACAGTGTGAGAGATACCAGTAGCACAGTGTGAGAGATACCAGTAGCACAAGTGTGAGAGATACCAGTAGCACAAGTGTGAGAGATACCAGTAGCACAAGTGTGAGAGATACCAGTAGCACAGTGTGAGAGATACCAGTAGCACAAGTGTGAGAGATACCAGTAGCACAAGTGTGAGAGATACCAGTAGCACAAGTGGAGAGATACCAGTAGCACATGTGTGAGAGATACCAGTAGCACAAGTGTGAGAGATACCAGTAGCACAAGTGTGAGAGATACCAGTAGCACAGTGTGAGAGATACCAGTAGCACAGTGTGAGAGATACCAGTAGCACAAGTGTGAGAGATACCAGTAGCACAAGTGTGAGAGATACCAGTAGCACAAGTGTGAGAGATACCAGTAGCACAAGTGTGAGAGATACCAGTAGCACAAGTGTGAGAGATACCAGTAGCACAAGTGTGAGAGATACCAGTAGCATGTGTGAGAGATACCAGTAGCACAAGTGTGAGAGATACCAGTAGCACAAGTGTGAGAGATACCAGTAGCACAAGTGTGAGAGATACCAGTAGCACAAGTGTGAGAGATACAGTAGCCAGTGTGAGAGATACCAGTAGCACAAGTGTGAGAGATACCAGTAGCACAAGTGTGAGAGATACCAGTAGCACAAGTGTGAGAGATACCAGTAGCACAAGTGTGAGAGATACCAGTAGCATGTGTGAGAGATACCAGTAGCACAAGTGTGAGAGATACCAGTAGCACAAGTGTGAGAGATACCAGTAGCACAAGTGTGAGAGATACCAGTAGCACAAGTGTGAGAGATACCAGTAGCACAAGTGTGAGAGATACCAGTAGCACAGTGTGAGAGATACCAGTAGCACAAGTGTGAGAGATACCAGTAGCACAAGTGTGAGAGATACCAGTAGCACAAGTGTGAGAGATACCAGTAGCACAAGTGTGAGAGATACCAGTAGCATGTGTGAGAGATCCATACACAAGTTGAGTACGTACAGTGTGAGAGATACCAGTAGCACAAGTGTGAGAGATACCAGTAGCACAAGTGTGAGAGATACCAGTAGCACAAGTGTGAGAGATACCAGTAGCACAAGTGTGTGAGAGTAAAACCAGTAGCACAAGTGTGAGAGATACCAGTAGCACAAGTGTGAGAGATACCAGTAGCATGTGTGAGAGATACCAGTAGCACAAGTGTGAGAGATACCAGTAGCACAAGTGTGAGAGATACCAGTAGCACAAGTGTGAGAGATACCAGTAGCACAAGTGTGAGAGATACCAGTAGCACAAGTGTGAGAGATACCAGTAGCACAAGTGTGAGAGATACCAGTAGCACAAGTGTGAGAGATACCAGTAGCACAGTGTGAGAGATACCAGTAGCACAAGTGTGAGAGATACCAGTAGCACAAGTGTGAGAGATACCAGTAGCACAAGTGTGAGAGATACCAGTAGCACAAGTGTGAGAGATACCAGTAGCACAGTGTGAGAGATACCAGTAGCACAGTGTGAGAGATACCAGTAGCACAGTGTGAGAGATACCAGTAGCACAAGTGTGAGAGATACCAGTAGCACAAGTGTGAGAGATACCAGTAGCACAAGTGTGAGAGATACCAGTAGCACAAGTGTGAGAGATACCAGTAGCACAAGTGTGAGAGATACCAGTAGCACAAGTGTGAGAGATACAGTAGCACAAGTGTGAGAATACAGTAGCACAAGTGTGAGAGATACCAGTAGCACAAGTGTGAGAGATACCATAGCACAAGTGTGAGAAGATACCATGTAGCACAAGTGTGAGAGAACCAGTAGCACAAGTGTGAGAGATACCAGTAGCACAAGTGTGAGAGATACCAGTAGCACAAGTGTGAGAGATACAGTAGCACAAGTGTGAGAGATACATGTAGCACAAGTGTGAGAGATACCAGTAACACAAGTGTGAGAGAACCAGTAGCACAAGTGTGAGAGATACAGTGTAGCACAAGTGTGAAGTACAGTACACAGTTAGAGATACAGTACACAGTGAAATAAGTACAGTAATACCAGTAGCACAAGTGGAAGATACCAGTAGCACAAGTGTGAAGATACCATGTTAGACAAGTGTAGAATACCAGTGTACACAAGATGTTTAGAGATACCAGTTGCACTAAGTGTAATACAGTACACATGTAGAGATACCATGTAGCACAAAGTGTGAAATACCAGTAGCCAGTGTAAATACCAGTAGCACAGTGTATAGATAACACTGTCAGCAGTATCACAAGTGTAAGAACTATTAAGACTAAATAATAAGTATAACTAGAACTACAGTTTAATGATACATTAGCACAAAATGTGCATCAGAGACATGTTAAGTGACCACTTTTGTATGAATGACATACATATGTGTTAGATGATTTCTGTGCATCAACTTGACATCCTACTGTACAGTTTACTATTACTGAAGTAATCCCATTGTCTGAGGATCCAATACCTATGTATTAGTGACTACAACTATAAGCAATACAATTGTATGTCCTTTGTACACATTAGCCTAATGATGTTTAGAGTGACCTCCTTTGTATTGATGACTCTTGTGAGCTGATTCTTTTTGGAGTGACCCTTACCGAGTGACCTCCTTGTATAGTATCCTCCTTGTACTGAGTGATCCTCACTGTTGAGTGATCCTCTTGTATTGAGTGATCCTCGTTTGTATGAGTGAGCCTCCTTGTATGTATTGATCTCCTGTGTACTTGAGTGATCTTCCTTGTGAGTGATCTCGTTGTATTGAAGTGATCCTCATTGACCGAGTGACTCCTTGATTAAGTATCCCCTTGTACTGGATAACCTGCGAGTTGCCAGTTGTATAATGATGATACCTGTATTGAGTGATCCTTTGTAGATGATCTTTTGTAATGAAAGATTCTATTAGATTCTTAGTATTGAGATGATCTCGTATTCACATGTCTAACTGAATTCCGTTCTCTGGATATAAACCATGATTGTCATTATGATAAGAAAAATATAGCACCTCTGATGATAAATCAAAGTAACATATGTAAATTACCAAAGTAAAATTGATAATTAATTCCTTCTACAACTGAACTTAATTTCCAATTTTGCATAAAATAAAAAACTATGAATATTTTGTCATTCACTGTTAAGCACAGTGTGCACTGAATAAAAGTTAACAGCAACGTGTAAGTAGTTAAAAGTGAACATTAGTTAGTAAAAATTAATACCATCACTGTACACTAGAAATTATTTTCACAACATTACCTTAGTAAAATGCTTTATTTTAAGTCCTTCTCAAGGCTAGTAAGTACTTGTGCCTCATGCTTGCTTGCTTGCCAGTGTGCACTGAAGCTCAAACTGTCTTCTGCACACACACTTGTTACAGTGAAAAGTTGAGGGAAAGGATGAACTTATTACTGTGAAAATTCAAGACCAAGGATCACCTTATTACTGTGAAAAGTTGAAATAAAAGATGAACCTATTACTGTGAAAAGTTAAGAGGAAAGATGAACTTATTAGTGGTGATTGTAGCAGTATTAGAGGTGGTAGTATAAGTAGAATTATCAGTAGTGGTAGTATTAGATGTACTAGTAGTATTAGATATACTAGTAATAGTACTAGTAGTGACAGTGATAGTACTAGTAGTAACAGTAATAACAGTAGTAGTAGTATAATGGTATATTTACCACAAAATCTCTCATAAAATATTATATTTTTAATTCCAAGTTCTTTATAGAACATTATTACTCCATATTATTGTAACTGTTTTTGTAATTATCTTGTATTACAAGGTACCATAATGCCTGACATTACATCAAAACAAACATGTCATTCTCTTCTAAACACCTCATTAACTAATCAGACTAATCCAACTTGCTCATGAAAACAGGTAGTAGATCACATCCTAAAAATCATTTAAGTATAAATATCTTCACACTTGTGCAAGTAGCACTGCAGACTGCATCCCTCCTTAATAAATAAAGCACACTTCACATCCTTCAGATGTACTCAATAATGATAATTCTTCTACATTTCTTACAATATACAGCTGTTACATTACCTTTAAAGAATACAGACATGCTGAGCCAGTTGTTCATACAGGCACTGCTCTTGGCTACTGAGAGCTAGCTTAACACTAAATACACACACACACACACACTCACACACACACACACACACACACACACACACACACACACACAACACACACACAACACACACACACACACACACACACAGTTTTTACAAATATTTTGTCCCAGCTCTTAAAATGCCTTTAAGATGCATGTTAACTCTCCTACCTCAAAACGGCTACTAACAGATAAAGTTTTTCCCATGGATTTTTTTATTTGCATAATCATTGTAGCTAATTTTGTTTACCTTTATCAACTTTCACTCTCTCCCCACCAATGGTTTTTATTAATGCTTTAACTACAGGAGCATAAAGAGGCCAACAAGCAAACACCACATGTCCTGAGAAGTACAACGAAACGTACAAGTTCCACCACCTGAAAAATATCCAAGAAGAAGTAGTAAGTGACAAATAAATGCCTCAGTGTGTGTGTGTATATGTAGTGTGTGTGTGTAGTGTGTGTGTAGTGTGTGTGTGTGTAGTGTGTGTGTGTGTGTAGTGTGTGTGTGTGTAGTGTGTGTGTGTGTAGTGTGTGTGTGTAGTGTGTGTGTGTAGTGTGTGTGTGTGTAGTGTGTGTGTGTGTGTAGTGTGTGTGTGTGTAGTGTGTGTGTGTGTAGTGTGTGTGTGTAGTGTGTGTGTTAGTGTTGTGTGTGTGTTGTAGTGTGTGTGTGTGTAGTGTGTGTGTGTGTGTAGTGTGTGTGTGTGTAGTGTGTGTGTGTGTAGTGTGTGTGTGTGTAGTGTGTGGGGTGTGTGTAGTGTGTGTGTGTAGTGTGTTGTGTAGTTGTGTGTGTGTAGTGTGTGTGTGTAGTGTGTGTGTGTAGTGTGTGTGTGTAGTGTGTGTGTGTAGTGTGGTGTGTAGTGTGTGTGTGTAGTGTGTGTGTGTAGTGTGTGTGTGTAGTGTGTGTGTGTAGTGTGTGTGTGTAGTGTGTGTGTGTAGTGTGTGTGTGTTATTTGTGTGTGTGTAGTGTGTGTGTGTAGTGTGTGTGTGTAGTGTATGTGTGTAGGTGTGTGTGTGTAGTGTGTGTGTGTAGTGTGTGTGTGTAGTGTGTGTGTGTAGTGTGTGTGTGTAGTGTGTGTGTAGTGTGTGTAGTAGGTAGGTAGTAGGTTGGTAGACAGCAACCACCCAGGGAGGTACTACCGTCCTGCCAAGTGAGTGTAAAACTGAAGCCTGTAATTGTTTTACATGATGGTAGGATTGCTGGTGTCTTTTGTCTGTCTCATAAATATGCAAGATTGCAGGTATGTCTTGCTACTTCTACTTACACTTAGGTCACACTACACATACATGTACAAGCATATATACACACCCCTCTGGGTTTTCTTCTATTTTCTTTTTAGTTCTTGTTCTTGCTTATTTCCTCTTATCTCCATTGTGAAGTGGAACAGAATTCTTCCTCCGTAAACCGTGTCATAAGAGGAGACTAAAATGCCGGGAGCAAGGGGCTAGTAACCCCTTCTCCTGTATGTATTATTAAATGTAAAAGGAGAAACTTTCATTTTTCCTTTTGGGCCACCCCGCCTCAGTGGGATATGGCTGGTGTGTTGAAAGAAAGATATATACAGCCTCTTCTCACTTAGTGATGTACTCGTTTACTAATGACTCAGACATACAACAGGCTCTCTTACCAGTATGCATACCTAAATAATGTATACAGTAGGGCCCCGCTTTATGGCGTTTTGCTTTACGGCACTCCGCTAATACTGTCATTTCAAATTATGACCGAAACGCGCTATATGACGCCCCCCACCTGACTTTCTAATATGGTCACCATGCCCCACCCTGTTTGTTTACATTCTCTGTGAGCTCAGTAAGCACTAAGTCTCTCCATTTTGTCTGGAAACTCCAAAATTTCAAGTGTTTTTAAAAGTTATTTCGTATTTTATATATACTCTGATAATTATACTTATGTATACCTGTATCTAAATAAACTTACATACTGTGCTGGCATGCAGGTTCACATTAAAATCAGTAAGAGTGTCTTATGTCTCGAGGTGTCATATTAGTAATGATAATCCCAAACCATACCCCGGCCGGGATTGAACCCGCGGTCAGAGAGTCTCAAAACTCCAGACCGTCGCGTTAGCCACTAGACCAGTCTCACTTAAATTTCGTATATTACGTTAATATACACATTTTCATTAATCCATCTATATTTTTTCAAAATTATATAATAAACACGATGCATAACATATAAATATGATAAATACACCCCACAGTAGAATAAATAAACGTAAATATGAGATGTGGTAGCAGACGACTTGCACAAGTGACGCCAGAGAAATGATGATAATAATAATAATAATAATAATAATAATAATAATAATAATCACCGAGTCTCATAAAATGTCGTATATTACGTTAATATACACATTTTCATTAATCCATCCATGATATTTTTTTCAAAATTATATAATAAACACGATACATAACATATAAAGATGATAAATACACCCCACAATAGAATAAATAAACATGAATATGAGATGTGGTAGCCAGATAACTTGTACAAGTGATGGCCAGAATAATATTTTCTCTAGTCTAACATAAGAGAAAATGTGTTACTGGGGGTAACTGTAGAAAATTATTCCTTTCGTATGTATGTAAGTTTATTTGGGTATACACAAATACAGTTACATAGATTATCATACATAACAGCATATGTGTAGAGAACCTAGGATAACCCAAAAAAGTCAGTGACTTATTTCCATTGCCCTCACTCAGAGCGTCATTTCTTCTCAAAATGGTGTTACATGAGACTGGGAGTGTTCTTCTTTATTTATTCTACCGTATCAATGTAGAGACAACTTGTACACAATGTAACTTGTACACAAACCAGACGTGTACACTTTGTTTACAAAACTTACCTTCGCCTGGTTTGTTTACATAACTCTGCGCCTGTCCTCTCTCATGCACTCATTCTTTCTCTCTCTCATTTATTCGTTTTATCTCATTTACTTACTCCTGATCCTACATTAAGACTACAGATATTTTAAGGTAAGTAATGAGTGAACTGTATATACATTTTATCACTCTGGGATGCTTAAATATCATAGAAAAGTATGTCTGGGTGGAATGGCCTGGTATGGTAGCCCGGCTGGCTACCATACATACCACACTTGATTTTTTACAATAAATACTACTCATCTCACCCTAGATTAAGACTACAAATATTTTAAGGTAAGTAATGAGTAAACTGTATACGCATTTTGTCGCTCTGGAATGCTTAAATGTAACAGAATATTATGTGGCCTGGTATGGTAGCCCGGCTGACTACCATACATACCACACTTGATTTCTTACAATAAATACTACTTGTCTCACCCTAGATTAAGACTATAAATATTTTAAGGTAAGTAATGAGTACACTATGTGTGTATTGTACAGGTCTCCCTCAACATTCGCGTTTTCAACTTTCGCGGGCTTCACACATTCGCAAATTCCCAACCGCCAAATTCCCAGCTGCCAAATCATATTTAAGTTTACCGCCACGAGCCCTTACTATCCTCCCTCCGACCCCTGCAACTGGCAGCCAGCCCTCCCACCACTGTGTGGTGAGTGTTTTGTTTGTTTATTATTTGCTATTAAACTACAGTATAAATAATGTAAACCCATCCATGACTGCATATTGGAATGGCTATTCAGACAGGTATTGGAAGGTGACATCATATGATTACTCTTGAACACAGCAAAGAATCAAACATTTCTGCTACTGCTAATAATAATAATAATAATAATAATAATAATAATAATAATAATAATAATAATAATAATAATAATAATAATAATAATAATAATAATAATAGTAAATACAATAGAATTGAAGAAGGAAATTGTACTAAAATACGAGGGTTGAAGCAGTGGTGGAGGAAGTGGTTGACGCATCGTCAGTGTGATAGAGGCAGTGGGTGAGGCAGTGGGTGAGGCAGTGGTAGAGGTGGTGATAGAGGCAGTGATAGAGGCAGTGGGTGAGGCAGTGGGTGAGGCAGTGGGTGAGGCAGTGGGTGAGGCAGTGGTAGAGGCAGTGGGTGAGGCAGTGGTATTTACTAACATATATGTTATAAATAATAATAGTACATGTTAATATTAATAACATTTATAATAATAATAATAATAATAATAATAATAATAATAAATGTTATTCATAATGTACTATTATTATTTATAACATATATGTTAGTAAATATCACTGCCTCTATCACTGCCTCTACCACTGCCTCACCCACTGTCTCACCCACTGCCTCTACCACTGCCTCTACCACTGCCTCACCCACTGTCTCACCCACTGCCTCTACCACTGCCTCAACTGCTGCCTCACCCACTGCCTCTGTAACTGCCTCTACCACTGCCTCTACCACTGCCTCTATAACTGCCTCTACCACTGCCTCTATAACTGCCTCTACCACTGCCTCTATCACTGCCTTTACCACTGCCTCAACCACTCCAGTCACACTCAATCTACAAGCACCAAATACAATGAATAATTGTGAAATGTTTGGAAGAGCAGGGAGACTAATACTCACTCCAGCATAAACAAAGCCACACTGACAATGCGTCAACCACTTCCTCCACCACTGCTTCAACCCTCGTATTTTTGTACAATTTCCTTCTTCAATTCTATCGTATTTATTACTATTGTAAATGTTGCAGTTTAAAAACTGTAGGGTAAAGCACCCTTCTGGCAAGACAGTGATGCAGTGAATGATGGTGAAAGTTTTTCTTTTTCGGGCCACCCTGCCTTGGTGGGAATCGGCCAGTGTAATAATAAAAAAAAATAATAAAAATTATTATTATTATTATTATTATTATTATTATTATTATTATTAGCAGTAGCAGTAGCACAAATGTTTGATTCTTTGCTGTGTTCAAGAGTAAACATATGATGTCACCTTCCAATACCTGTCCGAATAGCCATTCCAATATGCAGTCATAAATGGGTTGACATTATTTATACTGTAGTTTAATAGCAAATAATGAACAAACAAAACACTCACCACACAGTGGTGGGAGGGCTGGCTGCCAGTTGTGGGACGTCAGAGGGAGGGTAGTAGGGACTCGCAGTGGTGGAGGCAGTGGTATTTAATAACATACATGTTATTAAGCCATAACGTATGTATTTAGTACAATTTACGATGTTTTCATGTATTTTATGATTGTTCATGGTTCGACAAGTTAAGGAAGCAGTATTGTATTATATTTCCCTACAATATATTGGGGCACCAAACATTTGCGATTTTTCAACATTCGCGAGGCTCTTGATCCCCTAACCCTCGTGAATGTTGAGGGAGACCTGTATTTTTTTATTGTTTTTTGATGCCTAGTTCTATTGCTAATTTAATATATGTTAGTGTAAACTTGTTATCTAGTATTTGTATGCATTTATAAGTGGAAAAAAAGGGTGTTCCACTTTACAGCGATTTCTGCTTTACGGCGGTAGCCTGGAACCTAACCTGCCGTATAAGTGGGGCCCTACTGTATTAGAGCTGATTTTCTAAGTTCTGTTTATTACAATATACAGTACACTGCTGTATACACATTTAAAAATATACTAAAAATGTTATAAATGGTGCAAAGTAACATTAAAACAATATCAAAGATGGCTGACACAAACCCACTACCATTATACCTTGTTCCTCACTTAGTGACAAATTCGTTTACCGGCGCGTCTTAGGAACGGAACTCCATCGTTACGTGAGGAGAGGCTATATGTAAGAAGATGGACAGTTTGAATGCTTTGAAAATAAATGTTATGGTAAACATTATTAAAGGCACATATGAAATTAAGTTATATATACATTGTGTAATATTTTGTATAATGTATAAACAAATTAATATAAAACAAAACTTTGAGGATACTACTCATTTATTATTATATACAGTGGAACCTCAAATTTCGAACTTAATCTGTTCCAGGAGCTACTTCTAAAGTCGAAAAGTTTGAAAGGTGAAGCAATATTTCCCATAAGAAATAATGGAAATACAATTAATCCATTCCACGAACCCAAAAATATTCACAAAAAAATAAATTTTATAGTATTACATTACAGTTTTACATACACACAACAAATATAGTGTACAATTATTAATAAAATTAAGTAAACATATAAAATAACATTTTTACTTACCTTTATTGAAGATTGGTGAAGGCATCTGGAAGATAGGGAGGAGAGAGGGAAGGGGAATCCCCCTTCATAAGGACTTTAGGTATCAAAGCCCTCTCTGGGGTTACTTCGCTTCTCTGTCTTTTAATGCCACTAGGACCAGCTTGAGAGTCACTGGAACCATGTCTCACAAAATAGCTGTCCACAGTCCTCTGTTTCTGGCAAGCTCAACAAGTCGCACACCACTCTCATATTTCTGTATTATTTCCTTCTTCACATCTATGGTGTTTCTTACTTTCTTTACCACAGGGGTACCACTAGCAAGTTTCTTTGGGCCCATGGTAGCTTATTTCACAGTCACTAAACACAATGAATTAATCGTAAAATGTTTGAATGAGACCGCAGGTTAGTGTTCACTCGAGGATCAACAAAGCCAGACTAGCTCACAGTGCCTACGTGGGGAGGTGGACAGAGCGGGCTGGCAGACAGGTCTGGTACTCGGTGGTTCGAAAGAAGGGGCAAGTTTGATAATAGGGACAAAGTTGGTTCGAAAAAAGCTGTTGATTTTCGAAGAGCTCGATAAGCGATACGTTCGAAATTTGAGGTTCCACTGTATTCCAGCTAAAAGTGCTAGACCCTTAAAGATTATAATACCTGAGAAATGGGATCAATTAGGTTTGATCTGAGTAGGAAAGGATAGATTCTATTCCCTTAACCGGTGTTAAGTCACCCTTCTTAAAGACAAGTTTTGGGTCTATCATGTAATGCTAATAGCAACAAGCACATTCTTAATTCTTATTATATTTAAAGAAGTGCTAAACTAAAAGAGGAGGCAGTTAGGGTAAGATATAAACAACTATTCGAGGATAGATGGGCTAATGAGAGCATAGGCAATGGGGTCGAAGAGATATGGGGTAAGTTTAAAAATGTAGTGTTAGAGTGTTCAGCAGAAGTTTGTGGTTACAGGAAAGTGGGTGCGGGAGGGAAGAGGAGCGATTGGTGGAATGATGATGTAAAGAGAGAAGTAAGGGAGAAAAAGTTAGCATATGAGAAGTTTTTACAAAGTAGAAGTGATGCAAGGAGGGAAGAGTATATGGAGAAAAAGAGAGAGGTTAAGAGAGTGGTGAAGCAATGTAAAAAGAGAGCAAATGAGAGAGTGGGTGAGATGTTATCAACAAATTTTGTTGAAAATAAGAAAAAGTTTTGGAGTGAGATTAACAAGTTAAGGAAGCCTAGAGAACAAATGGATTTGTCAGTTAAAAATAGGAGAGGAGAGTTATTAAATGGAGAGTTAGAGGTATTGGGAAGATGGAGGGAATATTTTGAGGAATTGTTGAATGTCGACGAAGATAGGGAAGCTGTGATTTCATGTATAGGGCAAGAAGGAATAACATCTTGTAGGAGTGAGGAAGAGCCAGTTGTGAGTGTGGGGGAAGTTTGTGAGGCAGTAGGTAAAATGAAAGGAAGTAAGGCAGCTGGGATTGATGGGATAAAGATAGAAATGTTAAAAGCAGGTGGGGATATAGTTTTGGAGTGGTTGGTGCTATTATTTAGTAAATGTATGTAAGAGGGTAAGGTACCTAGGGATTGGCAGAGAGCATGTATAGTTCCTTTGTATAAAGGCAAAGGGGACAAAAGAGAGTGCAAAAATTATAGGGGGATAAGTCTGTTGAGTATACCTGGTAAAGTGTATGGTAGAGTTATTATTGAAAGAATTAAGAGTAAGACGGAGAATAGGATAGCAGATGAACAAGGAGGCTTTAGGAAAGGTAGGGAGTGTGTGGACCAGGTGTTTACAGTGAAACATATAAGTGAACAGTATTTAGACAAGGCTAAAGAGGTTTTTGCGGCATTTATGGATTTGGAAAAGGCGTATGACAGGGTGGATAGGGGGGCAATGTGGCAGATGTTGCAGATGTATGGTATAGGAGGTAGGTTAGTGAAAGCAGTGAAGAGTTTTTACGAGGATAGTGAGGCTCAAGTTAGAGTATGTAGAAAAGAGGGAGATTATTTCCCAGTAAAAGTAGGCCTTAGACAAGGATGTGTGATGTCACCGTATTTGTTCAATATATTTATAGATGGGGTTTTAAGAGAAGTAAATGCGAGGGTCTTGGCAAGAGGTGTGGAGTTAAAAGATAAAGAATCACACATAAAGTGGGAGTTGTCACAGTTGCTCTTTGCTGATGGCACTGTGCTCTTGGGTGATTCTGAAGAGAAGTTGCAGAGGTTGGTGGATGAATTTGGTAGAGTAAGGTTATGAGGAAAACAAAAAGATTAGGTGATGAAAGATTGAATATCAGATTGGAGGGAGAGAGTATGGAGGAGGTGAACGTATTCAGATATTTGGGAGTGGACGTGTCAGCGGATGGGTCTATGAAAGATGAGGTGAATCATAGAATTGATGAGGGAAAAAGAGTGAGTGGTGCACTTAGGAGTCTGTGGAGACAAAGAACTTTGTCCTTGGAGGCAAAGAGGGGAATGTATGAGAGTATAGTTTTACCAACGCTCTTATATGGGTGTGAAGCGTGGGTGATGAATGGTGCAGCGAGGAGAAGGCTGGAGGCAGTGGAGATGTCATGTCTGAGGGCAATGTGTGGTGTGAATATAATGCAGAGAATTCGTAGTTTGGAAGTTAGGAGGAGGTGCGGGATTACCAAAACTGTTGTCCAGAGGGCTGAGGAAGGGTTATTGAGGTGGTTCGGACATGTAGAGAGAATGGAGCGAAACAGAATGACTTCAAGAGTGTATCAGTCTGTAGTGGAAGGAAGGCGGGGTAGGGGTCGGCCTAGGAAAGGTTGGAGGGAGGGGGTAAAGGAGGTTTTGTGTCCGAGGGGCTTGGACTTCCAGCAGGCATGCATGAGCGTGTTTGATAGGAGTGAATGGAGACAAATGGTTTTTAATACTTGACGTGCTGTTGGAGTGTGAGCAAAGTAACATTTATGAAGGGATTCAGGGAAACCGGCAGGCCGGACTTGAGTCCTGGAGATGGGAAGTACAGTGCCTGCACTCTGAAGGAGGGGTGTTAATGTTGCAGTTTAAAAACTGTAGTGTAAAGCACCCTTCTGGCAAGACAGTGATGGAGTGAATGATGGTGAAAGTTTTTCTTTTTCGGGCCACCCTGCCTTGGTGGGAATCGGCCAGTGTGATAATAAAAAAAAAATAATAAATGTAAAAGAAGAAAATTGAAAGTGAATACAGGAAAGAGTAAGGTTATGAGGATAACAAAAAGATTAGGTGATGAAAGATTGGATATCAGATTGGAGGGAGAGAGTATGGAGGAGGTAAATGTATTCAGATATTTGGAAGTGGACGTGTCGGCGGATGGGTCTATGAAAGATGAAGTGAATCATAGAACTGATGAGGGGAAAAGGGTGAGCGGTGCACTTAGGAGTCTGTGGAGACAAAGAACTTTGTCCTTGGAAGCAAAGAGGGGAATGTATGAGAGTATAGTTTTACCAACGCTCCTGTATGGGTGTGAAGCATGGGTGATGAATGTTGCAGTGAGGAGAAGGCTGGAGGCAGTGATGTCATGTCTGAGGGCAATGTGTGGTGTGAATATAATGCATAGAATTCGTAGTTTGGAAGTTAGGAGGAGGTGTGGGATTGCCAAAACTGTTGTCCAGAGGGCTGAGGAAGGGTTGTTGAGGTGGTTTGGACATTTAGAGAGAATGGAGCGAAACAGAATGACTTCAAGAGTGTATCAGTCTGTAGTGGAAGGAAGGCGGGGTAGAGGTCGGCCTAGGAAAGGTTGGAGGGAGGGGGTAAAGGAGGTTTTGTGTGCGAGGGGCTTGGACTTCCAGCAGGCATGCGTGAGCGTGTTTGATAGGAGTGAATGGAGACAAATGGTTTTTAATACTTGACGTGCTGTTGGAGTGTGAGCAAAGTAACATTTATGAAGGGATTCAGGGAAACTGGCAGGCCGGACTTGAGTCCTGGAGATGGGAAGTACAGTCCCTGCACTCTGAAGGAGGGGTGTTAATGTTGCAGTTTAAAAACTGTAGTGTAAAGCACCCTTCTGGCAAGACAGTGATGGAGTGAATGATGGTGAAAGTTTTTCTTTTTCGGGCCACCTTGCCTTGGTGGGAATCGGCCAGTGTGTTAATAATAAAAAATAATAAAAGTGCTAAACCTGTGTGGGTCACCTAGCACCATAGTGGAAGAGGGGTGGACCCATCTTGAATACAGAGTTGAGGGTAAGAGAGTCATATTTGGTGCAATAGGTTAGTTTCACTTAAATCATCACGAAGTCTGAAGTAATAATTCTTGCTTACCTGTGTAGTTTGAGCAAAGCAAAAGGTCCTAAAGAGTAGCCCATGAAAATGATAACATATAACTTCAAGACAACAAATTTGATGTACTTTAATGGACCAGCATTGAGTAACGAGATGATTCGTGGATACTGACTCACATAACTGGCAATCTGAAAACAAAATAGAATTTAAAACAAAAGTCAATGTTTGTTATTCCATCAACATAAAATTATAATTCAATTAAACCTTATTTTTATCAGGATGAAGATTATCTAAAAATAATCTTTATGCAGCTAGTCTTATAGCGATCATCTGTCAGTAATAGCACCTAATTTTATTCAAGTCTGTCCTGCTATTACTAACCATTAACCCTTTGACTGTCGCGGCCGTATATATACGTTTTACGAGGTGCCGTGTTTGACGTATATATACTCATAAATTCTAGCGGCTTCAAATCAAGCAGGAGAAAGCTGGTAGGCCCACATGTGAGAGAATGGGTCTGTGTGGTCAGTGTGCACCATATAAAAAAAATCCTGGAGCACGCAGTGCATAATGAGAAAAAAAAAACGACCGTTTTTTTAATTAAAATGCCGACTTTGTGGTCTATTTTCGTATAGTGTTTATGGTTGTATTCTCGTTTTCTTGGTCTCATTTGATAGAATGGAAAACATATTACAGAAATAGAGGTGATTTTGATTGATTTTACTATAAAAAGAACCTAGAAATGGAGCTCAAAGTAGGGGAAATGTTTGATTTTTGCCAATGTTCAAAAGTAAACAAATGATGCCATTGTCCAATAAATGTCCAACTAGCCATTCTAATATGCAGTCATGAATGGGTTGATGTTATTTATACAGTTATTACAGCATTGCAGTAGTCTGCATAATAGTAAGTCTAATATTTTTTGTTTGAATAAAAATTCAAAATAGAAAGCAAGAGTAATATCAGAAGGGCCTGGAGACGTGACTGATGAACAAAGAAAACGTTATTTTAGAGCCAGGAATGTCTGCATTGTTCATTCTGGACCTTATTTTGAAATTGTCATATTTTTTAGTTTTCGTGAAATTGGCCAAATTGCAAATTTCTGACCACATTATTAGGTAGTTGAAATCAGTAAATGGGCAGTTTCTTGTATTCAATCGATAGAAAAAATGAAGTTCTAAAGAAATAGCTATGAGTTTGGGCGACTGGAACAATGGAATTAGCCGAAAATAGGGCTCAAAGTGGGCGAAATCGCTGATTTGTAAACAGCGCCGAGGTCGCTAACTTCGCGAGAGCATAATTCCGTCAGTTTTCCATCAAATTTCGTTTTTTTGGTGTCATTACAATCGGGAAAAGATTCTCTATCATTTCATAAGAAAAAATAATTTTTTTTTTTTTAAATTTTGCGACACCAGGAGACACCTCAGGATTGGGGGTTGCGACAGTCAAAGGGTTAACTAAGTACAGGAAAACCCCGCATATAGAGTACCTCGTTTTTGGTGTTCCACATTTTCTTTAGCTATCAACCAGGTCATTTTGTTCTGTGCATTTACCATTTTTCCCTGTTTTCATACAACAGTTGTATAAAGGAAGCGAGACAGGTACCATATTTTAATGTAATTATTGTATGTAGTGTGTATTTATTTTACTTATCTTTTTATACCTAGATGTAATGAGCCTATAGGCAGTAGGATGGTAGACAGCAACTGCCCAGGGAGGTACTGCCATCCTGCCAAGTGATTGTAAAATGCAAGCCTGTAATTGTTTTACATGATGGTAGGACTGCTGGTGTCTTATTTCTGTCTCATAAACATGCAAAATTTCAGATACATCTTGCCACTTCTACTTACACTTAGGTCAAACTACACATGTATGTACAAGCATATACATACACATCCCTCTGGGCTTTCTTCTATTTTCTTATTAGCCCTTATTCTTGTTTATTTCTGCTTATCTTCATGGGGAAGTGGAACAGAATTCTTCCTCCATAAGCCATGTGTGCCTTAATAAGCAACTAAAATGCCAGGAACAAGGGGCTAGTAACTTTAGTTTTTGTTTGGGCAACCCTGCCTTAGTGGAATATGGCCAGTTTGTTGAAAGAAAAGAAGGTACTAAGAATGTGATAAGCGTACTAAGAATGTGATAAGTGTAAACACGTTATCAGGCATTTTAGACGCATTCAATAATGAAAAAGCACTTTTCCCACCGCCGGCAATTTTCGCTTACCATACAGGGTTGAAAACCTAAGAGCCATACAAACAGAACCCTCTTGTATCATTTTCCATCTGGAGTGCATTCCACATAAGTAAAAAAAAGCCTAGGCTTACTTTGGAATAGAGTGAATGGAATGCACACCAAATATTTTTTTTAACCTACTGAGGGTTAGAACCCCTGATCTGAAATTTGCTCTCAGGATTGGGGAATGTAAAAAAATTCTTATGAATTGATGGAGAATCTTTTTCCAAAGGTAATGAAACCAAAAGTACAAAATTTGATGGAAAACTTGCAGAATTACACTCTTGCAAAGTTTGTGGTCTGGTGATATTTATGAATCAGCGATTTTCCCCACTTTGAGCCCTATTTTTGGCCAATTCTATTGTTCCAGTCAACCAAACTCATAGCTATTTCACTTGTATTCCTGCTATTCTAATGCCTGAGTACAAGAAATTGCCGATTTACCTATTTCAACTATCCAATAAAGTGATAAGAAATCACTAATTTGGCCCATTTCACACAAAATTCAAAAACTGCAAATTTAATAATAAATATGTAAGACATTCCTGGCACTAAAAAAACATTTTCTCTGTTCGTCAGTTACATTCTCAGGCTTCTCCTATATTACACTTGCTTTCCGTTTTGAAGTTTTCCGCTATTTTGAATTCAATTTCAAGCTACTTCAATCCTGAAAATAATCAAAACCATCTCTATTTCTGTAATATATCTTCCAAGCTATCACATGAGATCAAGAAACCGAGAATACAACCAGATAAACCATGCAAAGATACGGTGCAAAGTCTGTTTTAAACCAAAAACATGATCACTGTTTTTTTTCCATTATCCACTGCATGCTGCAGGATTTTTCTATATTGTGCACACTTTCCTCATAGATCCCATTCTCTCATATCTAGGCCCAAATTTACTGCTCACAGCTTAAATGAGAGAGCTGAGCTCATCGTGTAGAACAATGGGACCGGCTCAGGCTTCAAAGCCATAGTACAAGGGGACCCACCCCAAAAGGGCTAAGAACCTTTAATCACAGCATCAAGTCAATTTGCAGTAATCTACCTTATTTGTGCAACTTGTTCCTGATGTGATATTGAATTTTCAGCGCTGACTTTCAGTTTAGTAAACACAATAAATGGACTCACTCGAGTATGAAAAACTGTAATGTATCTTTGATATAAGAAATATTCTCACTCTGGATAAACAGAATGTAACCACCATAGTTCAATTTAATTCACTGCTCAAAAACAGGATCCAAAATATCTTTAAAATACCTTTTGATTAAAAGAGCCTTTCTTTCACTAGAATAAAACACTGTTCAGGGAGTTCAGCCTCATTATTTATCCTGCCTACCTGGCTTCATTATTTATCCTGCCTACCCGGCTTCATTATTTATCCTGCCTACCTGGCTTCATTATTTATCCTGCCTACTCGGCTTCATTATTTATCCTGCCTAAACCACTAGGAAAATGAAGGGGAAAAACAAGAAATAATTTCAAAGACAAAACTTTACAATATAATGCAAAAAAGATTATCAATGTCAAAGCACAAAGTGACTTCTTGATTCCTTGAAATATCAGAGTCCAAACATTCCATACTCAACAGTAATCAGCTAAAAAAAAAAGCCCCGTACTTACAAATTAAGAATACGTTACATACTTACATCCCTTTCAAAATTCATGATGACAAACTCCATGAAGAAGCAGGCATAATATCCAGAATGCAGACCATGCCATACTGCCAGGAATATTAGTGCCAGAATTTGAGAGATGTAGCGGTTATTCAGGAATCGCAATCTCTTATAGACGTATCTTCAGAAATGGAGTAATACAATGTAATTATTACAAAGTTCTTCTAAAAAATTATGTACAATAATTAAACAGATGTCGGTCTAAGTCAAGACAAACAACATAATTGTTGATATAATGTCTCAATCTCTCACTATTTACAAAAAGCTTAGAGAGTTCAACAGCAACTGGTTATTAAAGTATGTAAATACAATACCATATATACTCTAACAAATTTTAATAACTTTTTGTCTTTGATTAAATTGAGATACAGAAATTTATTTATTGATGCATAAACATGAATTATACACACATAATATGATCACTATATGTTACACTAAAAGTCTAGTAATTAAGTTTTAAGTTGATTGTACATGTGTAAAATAAGCAAATCTGTGTGAGCCAACTGTTTCCATCACCAAAGAGCATGCAAAAGATAAACTTTGACAAGAGTTACAAATTTAAATGCAATAATTCATAACAAAAGGGGCAAGAAAGTTAATATAAGAAAGCAAGCAAAGAGCACCTACTTACTGGGCTACCCAAGCATTGGTATTAGTGTTGAAGGAAGCAATCATGTGGCCAAAAGTGGTAGCTCCTTCATAGAGCCCAATCTTGACATTAGCACAGCCATTCCACAGACAGTTGCCATTAGCATCCTTACCCGAGTATGAGAGACCTACAAGGGTGGAGGGTGAGCCAGTTACATGGCAGATAACGGGCATACTAGAAGAAATTTTAACAGTTGCACTCGAACAGGTATACAACACTGCCATTTACTGACAGAAAACTGTTAAATGTAAAATTACTGTGGGTAAGATCACAAGAAATGTGATCAGCATGGTGGCCACTGTGGTAATGGCATACAAATACGTATAATAAAGTACAAGATTGAGGGTGGTAAATGAAGACATACACTGACAACATGTGGAGAAATAGGACACAATCTTATAGTGAAATTTTTATCACCCAGGGCTACACTCTTTATCAAGTATACAAATAATACACAGATAACCAGTGTAATAAGACAAGCAAGTACCCCAAGGTAAAGCTACAGAGGGGTCACAGTAGAGGTGAAATACTGTAAGAGGGAAGAGTCAGAGGTAAAAGGTGAGGTCAGGACTGGCAGCCACATCTATAACCTCTTTTATTCTTAAGGCTAGCATGAATGTGGCTGTTGTTAATGATGAAACTATAAAATAAATAATTTTCTTTTAAAAATACATCAGCCATTTCCCACCAAGGCAGGGTGATCCACAAAAGAAGAAACACTTTCATCATCATTCACTCCATCACTGTCTTGCTAGAGGCATGCCTACACAGTTATAAAATGGCAACTTATCAATACCTCTCATTCTGAGTGCAGACACTGTACTTCCCACTTCCATGACTCATGTCCAGCCTGCCGGTTTCCCTGAATCCCTTCATAAATGTTACCTTGCTCACACTCCAACAGTACATCAAGTCTTAAAAACCACTTGTCTCCACTTGCTCTTTTCTAACACGCTAGAACCTAACCAGCTGTATAAGTGGGTCCCTACTGTACTTTTACAGGATGGATAATTGCAAACAAGACGTATGTTATCCACCACAAACTACACTCCCACGTCATGAACTAGGGATCAGCATGTAGCAACCGTTTCAGGAGGAAGACACAACCACACACAGGATCATATGGAAGACTACATGCAACCGTTTCAGGAGGAAGATACAACCACACACAGGATCATATGGAAGACCATCATTTATTTTACCAAGACCAATGAGCAGAACAATGTATGTGCTGACTGGACCCACCATGCACATCATCCACAATACTTGTATTAAAAAATATTACCCAACCCTGGCCCTTCAACTTAACCCCCCACCCCACCTCCTGACCTTTCTGCTTACTTCACCCAAGGACTTTTATTTTTGCACCATTTTTGACCTCTCCTGTGATCCCTCTTGAACTTGACCTCAAGGCTCATTTGCCTTAAAAAGCAGAATATCTGTTTTCCGTATACCAGACCTGATAAAGTTAAGCCTAGAACAAAATGTAGTAGCAGTAATACAGCAAAGGTTTCACTGTAACCCAAGTCTCTCTTTCTCTACAAGAGTAAGCTTTTGTGGAAACAAAAATATGGAGAAAATCTGGAAGAAAAGAGGTAATCTACAAATGGCCACACACACACAGAAGATGTAATATCTGTAGACCTTCTGCAGTACCACCTGCAGTGCTCCACCAACAACACCATCATCTCGCACCTCCCATCAACTTCTCACCTGCTCATAACTGATTTCATGCTACTGGTAAGTACAAGATAAGATTTCGTTCGGAATTTTTACACCGGAGGGTTAGCCACCCAGGATAACCCAAGAAAGTCAGTGTGTCATCGAGGACTGTCTGTCTTATTTCCATTGGGGTCCTCAATCTTGTCCCCCAGCATGTGACCCACACCAGTCGACTAACACCGAGGTACCTATTTGCTGCTAGATGAACAGGACAACAGGTGTAAGGAAACGCGTCAAAATGTTTCCACCCTGCCGGGAATTGAGCCCAGGCCCTCAGTGCGTGAATCGAGAGTTTTGCCAGCCAGGCCACGGGGGTCACCCGTGTATGTATAAATATGTATATGTATTTATGTATGTATGTGTGTGTGTGTGTGTGTGTATATATATATATATATATATACAGTTGACCCCCGCTTAACGATCACCTCCAAATGCGACCAATTATGTAAGTGTATTTATGTAAGTGCGTTTGTACGTGTATGTTTGGGGGTCTGAAATGGACTAATCTACTTCACAATATTCCTTATGGAAAAATTCGGGTCAGTACCTGGCACCTTGAACATACTACTGGAATGAAAAAAGTTCGATTAACCGGGGGGTCCACTGGATATATATATATACAGAAGGCCGATTTACGGCGTTTCGCTTTTAACGGCAGTTTCCGCTAATACGGGACATTTACAATTTATGACAAAAAACTCACTATACGGCTTCCCCCACCTGACCTTTCTAAATTACTCGGTCCACCTGCCCCACCCTGTTTGTTTACATTCTCCATGAGTCAGTTAAGCACTTAAGTACTCTCCATTTTGTCTGGAAACTCCTCAAAATTTCAAATGTTTTTAAATAGTTAATTTCATATTTTATATTTACTCTGATAATTATTTCTTACTCTGACCCTAACATTAAGACTACAAATATTTAAGGTAAGTAATGAGTGCAACTGTATATACATTTTATCTCGCTCTGGGATGATTAAATATCATGAATAGTATGTGTGGGGTGGGGTGGCCTGGTAAGGTAGCCTGGCTTATTTACATACATACAACTTGATTTCTTACAAATAATACTACTTGTCTTCACCCTAGATTAAGAGACTATAAATATTTTAAGGTAAGTAATGAGGGAATGGCACTATGTGTGTATTGTTATTTTTTATTGTTTTTTGATGCCTGGTTCTATGCTACTTAATATATGTTGAGTGTAAACTTGTTATCTAGTGTTTGTATGCATTTGTAAGTGGAAAAAAAGGGTGTACACTTTACGGCGGTTTCCGCTTTACGGCGGTAGCCTGGAACCTAACCGCCGTAGAAGTGGGGCCTTCCTGTATATATATATATATATATATATATATATATATATATATATATATTATATATATATATATATATATATTTATATATATTATATATATTATAATATATATATATATATATAATATAATATTTTTAAATGTAAATGGGGAGCCTTTAATTGAGCTATGTGTAGAAAGAAATTGGTAATAAGTAATACTATTTTTTGAAAAAGAGGATAAATAAATTTACAAGGTTGATGTAGACGTAAGAAAGTAGTTTATTAGAGTATGTATTGGTGATAAAGGTTGATGGGTAGCTCCTGGATGTTAAGGTTTAGAGAGGGGGCAACTGATATATCGGATCATGATTTAGTTGTTAGTACGTTAGAGTAAGAGGGGATGGGATAAGAGGTAGGTGCAACAACAAGATAAGAGGGAAGTGAAAGTGTATTAAATAAGGGAGGGAGGAAGTTCGGTGAGATATAAAGCTCTCGACTTTTGGCAGAAAGGTGGGCTAGTGCCAAAGATGAGTTGTGGGGGGGTTGAAGAGGGTTGGGAATAGTTTTAAAATGCAAGTATTAGAATCAAACACGGTGGGGCGTAGTTTGTGGTTATAGGAGGGTGGGGGCAGGACGGAAAGAGGAGTGATTGGGTGGAATGATGAAGTTAAAGGGTGTGATAAAAGTGAAAAGGATATGTTATGAGATGGTTTTACAAGCAGAGTGGTATAAGATGAGCAGAGGTATATGGAGAGTTAAAAGAAGGTAAGAGAGTGGTGAGAGAGTTGCAAAAGGGAGAGCAGTATTGATAGAGTGGAGAGCACAGTCAAGAAAATTTTAATGAAAATAAGAAAAAATTTTGAGTGAGTTAAACAAGTTAAGAAAGCCTAGGGAAAATATGGATTTGTCAGTTAAAACAGAGTAGGGGAGTTAGTAGATGGGGAGATGGAGGTATTGGGTAGATGGCGAGAATATTTTTTGAGGAACTTTTAAAATGTTAGGAAGAAACAGAGGCAGTAATTTCATGCACTGTCCGGAGGTATCCCATCTTTTAGGAGTGAAGAAGAGCAGAATGTAAAGTGTGGGGGACGGTACGTGAGGCATTACGTAAATTGAAAGGGGGTAAAGCAGGTGAACTGATGGGTTCATGACAGAAATTGTTAACAGCTGGGGGGATATAGTGTTGGAGTGGTTGTTTTGTACTTTTGTTTAATAAATGTATGAAGAGGGGAAGGTACCTTGGGATTGGCAGAGAGCATGTATGTCCTTGTTATATAAAGGGGGAAAGGGGACAAAAAGAGGACTGTAAAATGTATAGAGGAATAAGCTTACTGAGTATACCAGGGAAAAGCGTACGGTAGGGTATAAATTGAAAGAATTAGAGGTAAGACAGAATGTAGGATTGCGGATGAGCAAGAGGTTTTAGAGTTGGGTAGGGGAGTGTAGTCAGGTGTTTT